ATCAGTTAGTGTTCCATTCAATGCAAATAGAATCAACAAATAAGATAGAAAAAAAAAAACAAGTACCGAACTCTCGAAGCCATAAATAAATTAAATGAAAAAAATGCAAGAAATGAAATTGAAAATAAGAACAACAATTAAAGAGATAAAATCACACACCGACCAAAAAATGGGCAGGCAACGTGCATCACTCGTAACAGAAAATGTAATGTACATGAAAAGTCGCGAACGATGCGAAGTACCTGACAAGCTGACACTAATATCACACATGCAAAATGCAACATGATATAATGTATCCTACTGCTAATGCACTGGCACCACATGTCGAAAAAAATACAAGAAACAATAGTCTACAAGTCGAGTTGTAGCTGCCTAAATCATACAAGAAAAAAAAATACTGTACAGTTTGAACTCAGTCTGCTGCAACCAACGACACTCTACGAATACCCTACTCAGCCTACTGGCACCAAAATCATACTCTACGAACACCCTACTGCTACTAAAATCATACACACCAACAAGTAAAGCATGCACACAACCATTGAGTGTCTGACAATACTGAGACAAGACGAGACGACTAAGACTACCAAAAAAACTACAACCGCACAACATGACGGCGTACAGTGCGAGTAGGGGAGAAGCGGAGTGTTGGCCTCATCGGTCAACGACCCTTCTTCCCCTTCCCGCTGTGTCTCCTCGTGCCCCCTCGAGTGCCGGATGTCGACCTCTTCCTCCCTCGTGAGGATGAAGAAGTCCGTGCAGCGGAGCGTCTAGATGCACGCGTCGGTGGGGGTCCTGGGGAAGGTGGGGGCTCATCGTAGTCGTCGTCGTCGTCACCATCGGAACCGCTCCTGCTATCCTCCTCTCCCCCCTCCTCGCCCTCGTAGTCCTCGTCCGCATCCCGCATTGGCTGCACAACCGCATCCGTATCAGGATCATCCTCCTCGACGGTGACTGGGCCTCCTCCCTTCCTCAATACAACAACCCTCGCACTAGCCTCTTCAATGGTCTGCTCACGGCGGGATCAACGAGGCATCCCCAACCCCTCCGCCCCCGAACTCTCTCCAAGTGTTGCGCCTCCCTCTGCAGACACGGGGCGTGGACGAGGAGGCACCACACGCTTGCATGGAGTCTGCTCCTGCACGGCACGCGTCGCTGCTCTCAGAGTGTACTCCAAGGTCTCGGTTGACACTCCTCTGCCACGATCTCGCTGAGGCTCACAACCTGATGCCGGTACCTCTCTCGTCGCGGTCGTTCTAGTGCCTCCTCCTCCCAAGCCCGGCTGAAGGCGTGCAGTGTGCTCCGTGACACGGCAGGTGGGATCCAAATCTATATATGTCCTCTCGAATATCGTCGTGTCACACACGTCCTGCTGAACTGCTGTCGTGTCACGAATCCTAGATCTCCCAGGGGTGTGTGGGGATCGAGAGCCTCTGCCTGTGGGCGACGATGATCGATCACCTGCAGGTGCCCTGGGAGGAGGGGGTGGCATGTCTTCTGTGCGTGGCGCTGTCTCCGTCACGCCACCCGAAACCCCTGGAACATGTCCCGCGGTATGTCCTCCGGTGGAGGTAGAGCCAGACCACACGGGCGACGTAGGACCCCATGGAACCGAAGGGATCGTCTGCCATGGTGGGTGCTCGAGCCTCCGGTCGAAGATCCGCCGGTCCAAGCGAGTAACATCGCGCACAACCTCTCGCACCAACTCCTCTGCATCCAAAGGACGATGGACCTCCTGCGGAGAAAAGTGGCTAGAAAGACGTGGGGGCACAACCACCGGCTCGGACCCCAAATCCGTGATAACGGGCGGTGGCACACCATGCACTGCCATCTTAACCGCTTGCGGCTGTTGGGCCTGAGCCAAGTGCAGGCCGGAGAACGGAATGACTGGACCCGTCGCTGCCTCCTACCCCTCGCGCCGTGCGTCTATAGCCCCTTCGACTCGTCGCTGTCCTGCCTGCACAGCCTCATCCACCGCCTGAGGTCGTCCCTCCACAGCAACGTCCGCTGCCTCTGCTCCAACCGGCATAGCCTCGGCTACCGGCTCTGCTGCCACTCCCTCCGCAACGTCCTCCCCCTCCACCACCCCACCCTGCACACAATCCCCCCCTATCTCTCGACGCCTGGCCTTCTCTACGGCCCGTGCGAACGCCTGAGCACGAGGGTCAGTCGATGCCAAAAGTCTAGCCCTCTCTCGCTCAATGATGTCGTGTGCTGCATCTGGAGACTTAGTTGTCGTCCTCTCTCGCGCGGTCTGCGTTGAAGTCCTGCCTGGCGCCTCGTCCCTCAATGGAGCCCGGTCCGTCGATGTTGCCCCGCCGCAACTAGGTGGAAGGCCCACCGACAAATCTAAGTCTAAGTGGGTCCCCATCTCTGAATCTGAAATCCCAAACCCCCTCTCCACACCCGGGGTCATACCCGCTATGGCCGGATCGAGCTCCTCCGTGAGGAACTGCTGCATGAGGCGCTCGTTATCGCCCCCACGCTGCATCTCAGCCTGTGCGGCTATCTCCTCCTCCACTGCAGCTGCCGACGGTGCCTCCTCCTCCTCCACTGCTGCTGCCACCTCAACCTCCACTGCTGCTGCTTCTCCACATGTTCCTCCTTCTGCTGCCACCTGCCCCTCCATTGCTGCACCTCCTCCTGCCGCTGGTGGATCCTCCTCCAGCACTGATGCTGCCATCTCCTCCAACACTGATGCTGTTGTTGCTGCTGCTATCTCCTCCACCGCGGCCGCGATCGTCGTGTCCGGCACAACCGTTGGTGCCCTCTCCTCCTGCTACCGAAGGTGCCCCCTCCTCCTGCTACCGAAGGTGCCCCCTCCTCCTGCAATATCCCCGGGGAAGGTGATCGTAACCTAAGCTGGCGGACTGCCCCGCCTCTGTGGAGAAGGTCGTGCTGAGGCAAAGAGGACCCCAACTCCTCCCTGTCCAACTGAAGTGGTGAGACGAGCGATCGTGGTGCAGGACTCGGAGCAGGAGGTGGCGACATTGACGAATCCCGCCTCGTCGGAGTGGGGGTCGTCGCCTGTGCCTCTGGGCCGCCCGTGGAAGCGACCTCACCGAATGAGCCCCAAAAGTCCTCGTCTCCCCCCAGCATCTCCCTGTCCGCCCGGTCCGCCGCCCGTCGTGCAGTCTGTGCCCTGGTCTCCTCGGAGTCGGGATCCTCGTGCGTCTCGTGGATCTCCCGGGGAATGTAGAGTGCAGGGTCATCTGCCGCCTCGGGTATCGGCTCCTCGTCTGAGTCGTCCTCCCTGGGGTAGGGACGAAAAATGCAAGCACGTCTATCGAAAACGGCATCAGCCGAGGGTGGTTCGGACGCCCCGATGGGATCCCGGGTAATAAGTGCAACCTGACGGGCAATCTCCTCGTCCATCATCCCCCTGCGAGTTCCCGTGCGCACAGGCTCCAACTCGAGTCCTGCCTGGCAATCCAGCATGCCCTCGTCCCGCTGCCATGGCAGCACATAACCGCATCCAGCCCGCCGATACTCAGTCAACCTCACATTTGCGGTGATCTCAACGAGTTGCACGACCTTCTCGAAGGCCACCTGGTTGCGCTTCTTTGTGTGAATGCCCTCGTGGACTGCCCAGTTCCTCTCCGCTGGAGAGGCGCAAGACCACATGTGCATCACCCGAAGAGCACAACGCTGCAACTGTGGCGCGCGAAACCCGTACTGAGACCACCAAGACGCGCACTCAATCGTCTCGCTGTCGCCGCTGCACATGCGCCCACAAGCACGCTCGTCCGGATCGCCCCAATCCCCAAACCTGCCCTGCTGAATGTGAAAGTCCTCAAACCGCCGACATGCAAGGATGTAGTCCGCACCCTCCAACTCGAATCCCGTCTGCGTCAAAATGTACCTCTTGGCTTGCCCCACAAGCCAAGCATCGTACCGCTCTATTTGCCCCAAAAAGTAGCGAACGTGTCGTCTGCGGGGGTTTAGTAAGAACCCTGCGTAGTGAGCCGGCTCAAGCATGTGTTGTATGCGAGCCTGCACACGCTTGATGATCCGGTCGGCGAACGACTTCCCCAAAGGGGCGCATGCGACCGTGACATGGCGGACAAGATCCTGCGTCCACTCGATCATGAGGGACATGTACTGTCCTCCACGATCCATCTGCCTGAGCAACTCCATGACGGGCTGCATGATATGGACGATGGTGGCCACCCTCTGCCACCTTGGATCCCATCCGATCTATCGGCGCACCCAACGCGCCATGACGCACACATCGGCGGACCACGGGATGGAAGCAAAAGCTCGCGCGTCATCCCCTCGCATCATGTCCTGCAGAGTGTCCTGCAAGACCAACAGCCTCTCCAGCATGGAGTAAACAGACGCGAACCGCGTCTCGCAAGAAAGAATAAGGCCCTTGTCAGGGCTGCGCATCCTAAAAAAATGAAGGGCGGCCTGGTGGGTTTTGAAAAACACCACCAGCACACGAGCGCGTGTGATCGCGTCCACAAACGCGTTGCAACTAGTCCCCATGTCTGACAACAATTGCTTGCAGACATAAATGGAGCACGGGAGCCACGTGATCCTCCTCAGTGCAGGAGGTATGGTCGGGGAGGCCAATGCCCTCGCAGCCCCCACATAGGCAGAAGCCGTGTCAGTGCATATCGCATTGTTCCGCTGCGGCCCGCCGAAGCTGAACTCGTGGAAGATGATAACCCATCTCCGAAGGACGTGCACTGCATCGTCCGCCTCGCCCTCTCGATTGATCGTCGTGTACACGATGACCCCTCGAGAGCCAGCAGCAAGGAAATTCACGATCGGTCTCCCATCTCATGATTTCCTCCCATCGGAGAGGAGGGTGGCACCAGTCACCAAGAATGGCTGCCTCACCTCCTCCAACTCCTCCGCCAACTCCGCACGGTGGGTCTCCACCGCCCACATACTCGCAATCTCGCAGTGGTTGGGGAGCACTGCGCGCGGGGAACTGCCAGGCTGCTCAAGAAACACCTGCTGATATGCCTTCCACGCCTGGTTGCGGAAGGCATTGAAGGAGACCCCACTGGAATACAACCAGCGAAGGAATGCCTTCTTGTGGCGAGCAACCCACTCACCACCGTAGACATCAGTCACCTTCTGCTGGCGAAGCCTCTTCCCTGCTGGGGTGGCAGCCGGATCACTCCCTCCTTCCTTCCTCTTGGAAGACCCCTCCGTTCCAACTCCCTTGCCTGCTCGCCTCCGCCAGTCCTCCAACCTCTCGCCGGTGCCTGGATAAAACTCAGGCACGTCCTCCCGTTCCGGGACTCCCTCCTCACCCGGGCCAGGCGCCTCGCGATCCACGTGGATCACGCCCTCCTCCGTGTCACCGCCTCCACCACCCAAAGTGAGGTCTGCCGCACCATGCCCACCATCTCCCCCGACCCCTCCCTCCGCCGGACGCCGCCCCGCCTCTCCTCCCCTTGCACCACCCGTGCCGGGCACATCGAGCCCGCGCTCCGCTGCATACCTCGCAACCCTCTCCATCTGATCGGCCTCGAACTTCAGTTGAGTCCGTCGAGCAATCTCGTACAACGCCTCGCCGCTGACGTCCTTGCAGTAGTTTGTCTGCAAGAAGTGCCTCGTGGCCTGAAACTGGGTCCCTTGGAAAACGTTGTTGCAAAACGTGCAACGGAGCATCATGACCCCCTTGTTGTTGACCTTCTGGCCGACAACCAGGTACCGATAGAGAGGGGAAGGGGCCCTGAATTTTTCCTGCACATGGTCCGTGGCAGCCTCATGCTGACGGCGCTGTGCCCTCCCCATGTCGGTCACCCTGGCAAAACAACCCTCGCTCACTCCCCCCGACCACACCGCTGCAGCCCAACACCCGTTAACCGCTGGCC